TGAAGCTCTTACAACAAGAAAATGGAGGGGACACATCTGGGTGGGAGGGGGGAGAGGGAGGAGGGAGGGAGGTTTTGGTGATGGGACACAATAATTAACTACATTGTATATTGACAAAATAAAAATAAAAATAAAAAAAAAGAAGTAATCAAGTTAAGATGAGGTCATTAGGGCAGGCCCTAATCCAATATAACTGGTGTTCTTATGAGAAAAGGAGATGACAGAGACAGACAAGAAGAAGCCAAGAAGGAAGCAGACATGGAGTGATGCACCTACAAGCAGAGGAGCACTGAGGGTCATCAGCCATCACCAGACACTAGGAGAGGGGCATAGAACAGATTCTTCCTCAGAGTCTGCAGAAGGAACCAGCTCTGCTGACACCTTGATTTCAGATTTCTAGCCTTCAGAACCATGAGATAACACATTTCTACTGTTTTAAGACACCCAGTTTGTGGTACTTTGTTATGGCAGTCTTAGGAAACTAATACACATAGGTATGAATTTTAGCCCATCATTTACTAGCCCTAAGAATTTGAGTTAAATTATTTAAACATTTTCCCTGATACTTTAAGGACACTGACCTTTCTGTGATTGTTTCTCGGAGTCCACTTGCCACCCCTTTGACCACTGTGCTGGCTTTGGGGGTCAGCACCACCTGAGATATAAAAAATGAGCCCTTCTTTCTTCTCTCAGTGATGGATGCCTGAAGAAACTGGATCAGTTTTTCAGGGTCTGTGGTGTTGGCCCAAGGTGCCGGCATCATCTGGCCAGGCCAGAGAAAGGGCACTTCCAGAGCCACTGGACTATGGTAGAAGACCAGCACTTGATAGTCCTTCTCCCACAGGTACTTTAAACTAACTTCCTGGGCAAAAATCGCTGGGCACATTTTGTTTCCATAGATGTCTTTCAGCATTTGGACCAGTTTTTCATGGTGATATTTCTGCATCCCATAAAAATGGTTGAAGTCCAAGAACACTACCTCCTTATGGTGATCTGTGAGGAATGCATTGATCTCCTCTAGGCCTTCATTGACTTTGGCACTGAACAGACCATGAGCAAAGTAGAGTTCATTGTCGGGGTCTCTGGGCTTGGTGGAAATTCGAAGATCAAAATAGCGGATTCCAGCTCCTAGCTGACCAGTAAAGTTCATTGTTTGAGTAGCTAACCATTTCCGCATCAGCTTTTTGGCCACAGTTCCAAACACAGAGACAAAATTCTGGACGGTTTCTGGCTGTTCGGGACCTACTGGAGAGGCTTCATCAATGTAGAAGCTGAAGGAATCATGAGACCCTAGGAGAACAACAAAGCATAATGTGGTTAATTTCCAGTCCTTTGTCCTTCCCAACTTCTTTCCCTCTTGTGATGTTCATACTTCTTCAAATGAGCCAAAGGAAATACTAAGCAATATTTATCTAATTGATACTCATGTCTCAGGATGGTCCTTTTTATAACCTAGTATAGGACATGAGACATGTCACTAGATCAAATTAATTGTAAAATAATAAGAAAATTTCCTTACAATCAATATTTTAAAATTCAAATAATCATCTACTTCTGTGAACCAAGAAGTTAATGCACTCACTAAGATGGGCTTTCCATACAGTGGCATAAGTGATTGTTCATAAAGTGGGATTTATGGGGACTCACCAGTTCCCAAATACCATCTTACCCTTTCCCTTCATTGTGGGTTGATTTTAAGCCTACAGGGCTTGCCTCGGTGAGTAAAGAAGCCAGGGATTTGTTTTCACAGGGAAACAATCATAGGTAACATGAATTGTTATCTCATATACTTTGGAGTGAATAAGAGTCCAAAGGGGCAGAGGAAAAGAGAAATAAGACAAGAGGACAGTACAATGCTGATACATTTAATTTCATTTTTGACCTTGTAGTTGGACAACTGGGAAGTTAGATGAGGCCAAGTATCCGGGATGCTTCACACATTACAAGGGGAAGATGTACCTCAAATTCTGACACCCTGTCCCTCTTTCATGACCTCCTCCCAGCAACATCATTTCCCATCTATTACTCAGGCTTCCCCCGAGTACACCTTGATGCTCCACTACTAATTTAGGTCCCTGAGGCACAACTTTTCTAGTTCTTTCATTCCTCCACCCCAAAACTCACACACACATACGTATACATAAACACACACATACCTCTAAGTTTATCTATTCATCCCCTCAGTGCCGTTGTCTGATAAATTATTTGAAACAGTCTTTTCAGTGATAATTACTTATCTATGTCTATATTCTATTTCTATATCCATCGATAGCTACATCTATGTCTGTACATATATCTATACCTCTCAATCTAGCTTTAACAGCCGATAGGAATCACAAGAACACAGATTTCAGACACCATGGAGGTTGTTAGAGAAAATAACTTTGCAAAATACTTTGGTATCTTGAAATTCATAAGCTTTAACATTTAGAACAGATAACTCCTTAGAATTATTAGATTTTTTTAAACAATGAAATGTAACCCAAATATACAGAAATGTCATGTTTAATATGATCTGATACTGTAAGATCTATTTATCTTTAGTAGATAGTATGAGAAGAAAATGTCAACCCTTTCTGAATAAGCATTGGAAAATTTTGATAGGCATTTAAATGGCTACATATTGATTTATTAGTTGTTCAGTGGACTGCTAATTTACATAAAAAAGCTAAACAAATGTGTCTGTAGCTCAATATACACAGAGAAATGTGTTTACAGAAAAAAATTAAAGAATGAGTTTAAGAATTATAATTAAATGATCTAAGATTAAAATAGGTAATAAACTCTCCAAAAAAAAAAAAAAAGGAGTCAAAAAAGTTAGTTTCCAGGCACGTGAAACTAACATGTTACTTCTGTAATGGAGTAGCAGACATCATTACAAGCAAGTAGATAGGGAATCAAATGTTATTATATTTCTTTTTCTAGAAATGAGTGGTTCTTTGTTTTCAATATGGCTTTAGTTTCACGAATCCACCATGAGATTATGTGGCCGATAAGAAAGAAAATAAACTTAAAAGAGGCCAATTTTTTGAAAATTTTGTGAAAGGACCTTATAATTTCTAGATTATGTTATTTGTTGACCTTCCAAAAAGCATATTATTAAGGTTAAATAAGGAAATGGTGAATATAAAAATAAAATAAATATGGCTGGCCCGGTGGCGCACTGCTATAGTGCGCAGCTTGGGAAGCGCGGCGGCACTCCTGCCGAGGGTTCGGATCCCACATACAGACCGATTCCCGCTCACTGGCTGAGCGAGGCACGGTTGCGACGCCGAGGATTGCGATCCCGTTGCTGGTCCCGGTCCGGTACGGGGGCAACACTGAGGGTCGCGATCCGCTGCCGGACACCAAAAAAGACAAAAAGGAAAAAAAAATAAAAATAAAATAAAATAAAATAAATAGTCAGAAGAAGAAACCAAAGGAGCCTCCACTAATATTTGTTTCACACCCAGCGTGGAATGGTATGCTGTGGGTGCTGCATACTGTAAACATTATTTGGAAAGGAGAATTAAATCAATTGATACAAAATACTACCCACGCATCTTGGGAGAAAATATATGATCTAATGTTGGCCATGAAAGGAATATTTTGATGACTTTTAATTTCATTTGGAATAGTACCTCTCTTCCAATTTCAATATTTTCACTAAACCATTGTTTCCTATTTGTTTTAACTTTTTTTTTTGTCTTTTTGTCTTTTTTTCCGTGTCCGGCAACGGATCGCAACCCTCAGTG